GTCGTGTTGGGTGATATGGAGAGGGAGCACATTCATGCAACAGAGGTGCGTGTTCCTCTTGCATCTCCATAAGCAACAGCATCACGCGTTTGGCTCGGGGGCTGTGTCGCTGAGTTAGCTGACCTTTATTGTATACACAAACACAAGATACAGACAATAGGCAAGCAAGCTGACGTGACAAGTAGTCATGCCACCATCTGCATCCAAGGGCGAACCACTCTCAGCACCGCACACGTGTGTCTTGGCAACGGTCGTCACATCACACATCACATCACACACCATCCAACGTACATCAAACACAGCGCGTGACAAGAGTGCTGGAAACTGAAGACTTGGGGGAGGGCACAGAACAAGGACACAACCACTGTCGCATGGTGTCGTGCAGTGTCACGCGAGAGCGTATGTTGTGTGTGTGTGTGTGTGTGTGTGTGTGTGTGTGTGTGTGTGTGTGTGTGTGTGTGTGTCTACGCTTGGACCAGCTTCGCCAGTGGGCTGTCCGTGTGTTCGCCACAGTACGTCTTGAGCTGGGCAGCAAGGTCCGGCGATGCCTGAACAACGGGCGGTGATGGTGGTGGTGGTGATGATGGTGTCGTGAGACAAAGCAGATGACCAAAGAGGCAGACAAAGGACACACACACACACACACATACACACACACACACACACACACACACACACACACACACACACACACACACACACACACACACACACACACACACACACACGTACGTTTGAGGCCCTGGTAGGAGTGGAGTGTCTGGATAACGGTGCGCATGAGAAGACGCGGTGGCGGGGAGAGCTCGGCCAACTGCTCAAGAACAGTCGACAGCAGTGGCTGCGTGTACACATCCCGTCGCTGGAAGCACGCGTCCACAGCAACAATGATGTTCTGGGCAGCGGTGATGGACATGTGTGAGGGTGATGCTGGGACGTCAAAAGCGACGAGTGATGATGATGTGTGAGTGTGTGTGTGTGGTGTGTATGTGTGTGTGTGTGTGAATGTGTGGTGTGTATGTGTGTGTGTGTGAATATATGCGTGTGCATGTGCATGTGCATGTGTACTGACCGAAATTTTGAGCGCTCCTGCTGGCTCGAGCTTGTGGAGTTGGAGAAGCAGCGTTGGCGGATCAAGACGGCCTGAAGTGCAACGGCACACAGGCGACAGTAGTGATGGTGGTGGTGGTGGTGTAACCACGTGCAGTTGGTGGTGGTGTGCAATGTGAGCACAGGCACAGGGGTATGCACGAGTGCACGGAGCAATATAGCAAGACGTGGCTGAAACAAAAAAAAAAAAAAAGAAGGGGGGGGGACCATCCATTCACAGCCCGACACGGCTTAATGGGGGTGGGGGTGGGGGAGGGGGGGCAGGTGCAATCGCGCGTACATGTTGGCTTGAGTAGACGCTGCATGACTTGCTTGACGACGCGTGCGGGCAGACTGAGAAACTCGGCCAGGTGGTCCTCAAGTTGCGTCTGGACAGGCAACGCACGCGGGTGGTGGACAATGCGAAGCGGACACAAAGCAGGGTGAGTGAGTGAGTGAGTGAGTGAGTGAATGCGCACGCACGAGGAGGTTGGCCATGTGAAGGTGATGGGGAACTGAGATGGAGGGACAACAACAGCACGCAGCCACAGACCTGTGTGAGTGCTGAGATGATTGGAATGAGAAACCGAACGTCATGTGTCTTCTCGTACAGCGCCATTGCACACGCGCGCGCTTCAGCGCTCACTTTCCGCTTCGCTTCTGATGGTCGGTAGTGATTGTGTGTGTGCGTGCGTGCGTGCGTGTGTGTGAGTGAGAGTGAATGAGAAGGGGGTTTGAAGAAGTAATGAAATAGCATGAGCTTTCGAGACACAAGGTTGCAGATGAGAGACGAAGACACACCCACACACAGACACGCAAACACACACACACACACACACACACACAGACACAAACACACCTTCTGCGTCGCAGATTGTGTGGAGGGCGCGGAGGACGAGGGATTCGGCGTTGTGGGGGAAGTGGAGCAGCGCTTCAAAGAAGGCGGTGGGCTCGCGCCGTCGCATCTCAGACACCTGGCGGTGATGACGGCGGTGGTGACGATGATGGCATCGTTGATAATGATGGTGGTGTACAGTGAGACACTGGGCTGGGAACATTGTGCGACATGCGTGCGAGCGTGTCTGTGTGCGTGCGTGTCTGTCTGTGTGCATACAACAAGCAAAACCAAACGAGCAACAGCAGCAACACCAACAGCGACATCAACAGAGTTCGTGTTTGTACCGGGTGCTGAAGGATGGAGAGGAGAGCGCGCTTGGCAGAGGGTGTGGCGGTGGCGTACCCCTGATCACACAATCGACAATGAAGGCGATGATGATGATGATGATGATGATGAGAGGGGAGGGGATAGGAATTGGAGAGAGCAAGCACGGGAGAGAGTTCTCGACATAACCACCAGTGCCCGCACACACATGCACACACACATATGCAACGTGTACACGTACTTGCACAAGGC